TTTTAAAGACGTTGGGGTGAATAGCTTTTCTGTATAATATTTTACTAATCAGACCTCAATTTACATTCACTAACAGTAGGATGTGTCGGGGTGAGAAAGAAGTTGTTTATCAAAAAAATAAAGTTGCTTCAAGAAAGGCGTTTCATTAATGGGCACAAAAGGCAGCATTTTACTTCTTTACCCCTTATGATAGTGACAGGTGGTTTACTAGGTACCGGTCAGTTAATTATGGAAAAAGAGAGGTTGTGTCCAGGATTTTGTGACCTAGAGATATTGAGTGATTTAGAGATTTCCTCTATGAGATAAAGAGATCCGTCCGTATCAGGACATATCCGCGGATATCCGGATATTAAACGTATGTTGCACATGTCTGGTATATGTCATGCCAATAATTTTTGTTTACCTCTTCACATCATTTTAAATTACATTAGTCTAAAAAATTAAAAAATGAAAAATTTAATTTTAATTTTACTTTCAATTTTCGTCATTAAAGAATTCCAACTTGAATTGACTGATGGAATGTTTACAGGAGAATGTTTGTATTTTTATATTTTAAATTTGGCATAATTCACGCTGGCATAAACAATCTGCTAGTTAAATTCCTACCTACACATTATTAACTAAATTTAAATTTTTGGGAATAAATCCTGAAAATTTAAAGCAAAATTTATTTTTGATTATAAAAAATATTCAAATACTTTACATAGTAAAGCTTAAAAGGGATATGGCTATTTCGAACCAGAATCTTTAATTGAAAGGACCGATGTGTTATAAATTACACTATGCCACCTCCTGCATTGCCTTAGGAATTAAATAGCTATATGTACTAGTGTTATTCAAAAGCGATTTTTCGGTATCGGTATTTCGGTAAAATACCGATACCGAAAAATACCGACGAAAAATAGTCGGTTTTTAAGTTGCTCCTCTCAAAAAACGAATATAGAAACTAATTAAAATCTAAATTAAAGCTCGTGGTCATGCTAGACGAAAAGGAAAGGAAAGAGTGGGTGGAAGTTCTTCAACCCCAGCAACCTCCTTTGATGAAAATAATTTTTCTCTTATTGAATTGTCCCTTTTAATTCGGACATTTAATAATATTGAAATTGAAGAATTAAAATTACAAGAGCCAACAAACACTTTACATAAAAATATTATTGAACGTGGAAACAAAGAAATTTCTACTTTAATTACACACATTCCAAAGATTTTTGAATTTGAATCGTTTAAAATAACATCAAAAAAATTAGAGAAGGTTTATTTTTAAATTTATATTTAAAATAAATTTTATTTTTTAAAGATTATTGAATATTATAATGAAAAATTTGATTCAAAATTAGAGCGTGAAAAAATTGAAATTGGTTTAAAAAATATGAGTGAAACAATGACTTTTGAGAGATACTTTCAATTTTTAAACAATTCAGGACTTTTACCATATAAAAGGGATTACTCGTCATTAAATACAAAAGACAAATTGACTCAAGAAGCTATAAATAATTTGAACAATTTCAAGTAATAAATATTTAGTTGGTTAAAAACCGCTCAAGTACAAGTTTTGGTCGACTTTACGATAATTGAAACTCGGCCAATAATTTAGAAAAATAATAAAGGGATATTCGGGTTTTTAGAAAACTGTCCATTTTCTAAATTTCTAATTGCCGAAAAGTTTCAAAATTTTGTTTAATCCCTAAAAATTTAGAATTTTTTCCTCATGTATTTGCTAAATTAGGTTAAAAACTCTAAAAATCAATATACAGTGGCGGGAATTTAAATAGTGAAAAATATTATATTTAGTTTTTTATGGAAAATCAATATAGAAAAAATTTGAAAAAATTTCTGGGAGCTTCTCTATCAATATGATGAATAATGGCAAAAAATCTTAATGTTAACCCAACTCCATCATCGAGATCTCGAGGTCCAAAATCAACGGAAAATTGGGGTGATTTGTGGGTGATCTATTTTACAAAAGAATTTTGGTCCATCTGACCCAGATAAAATTCTTCTTTCTTGATCATCATAGAGCCCATAAAATTTGCTACAATTTAGACTATGTCATTTCTTCAAAAAATTTCTTCTTCGAGAAGATTATCGAAGAATTCCTAGTTGCGAAATTTATGACTGATTTTCCCCAAATTAAAAGGTTTCAGCCTATATCTCGGAAAAAGAATTTTTTGAAGAAATGACATAGTCTAAATTGTAGCAAATTTTATGGGCTCTATGATGATCAAGAAAGAAGAATTTTATCTGGGTCAGATGGACCAAAATTCTTTTGTAAAATAGATCACCCACAAATCACCCCAATTTTCCGTTGATTTTGGACCTCGAGATCTCGATGATGGAGTTGGGTTAACATTAAGATTTTTTGCCATTATTCATCATATTGATAGAGAAGATCCCAGAAATTTTTTCAAATTTTTTCTATATTGATTTTCCATAAAAAACTAAATATAATATTTTTCACTATTTAAATTCCCGCCACTGTATATTGATTTTTAGGGATTAAACAAAATTTTGAAACTTTTTTGGCAATTAAAATTAAAATTTTCTGTGTCTAATAATACTCAAATTATTAGCCCACAAATGTTCGGAACTTAATTAATTTTAATTAATATAAATTAAGTAATGAGGAACTCTTTTTACTCTCCACTCATTTTTCAAATCCAAATCCACCAAATCTTGAACGAAATATATTTATTGTTTGGAATTTAATTAAATTAATTCAACATTTAATTCGTTTGTTTATTAAATTTTACCCATACAATAAAAATTACTACAATGATATGGTAATTAAGTATACTGAAAAAATAGGCAAAGAACCGTAAGTATTTTAATGAAATATTTAAAAAATACCAAATTAGGAGTGTTTTGTCGATTCTGATTTATGTTTACTGTTACAATAATCTTGAAAAGTTCTCAAATAAATTGAAAGAAACAGGTTAAATTTTGATAATTTTTACAAATTTTTAATTGTGGTGCTAGAAAAAAAAGAAATCTGGCTGGACTAATACTTAATGTTATGAGTAGGGGGCGGCAAAATTTTCTGTTCACATTCTAGCGACCATTAATAATCTTCTAATTTTCTATTTTTACTTTTGTCTTTAAACAAATTAAAATTTAGGAAACAATTATTTGCCATCTTTACTTTTTTTTTAATATTTATTCAGCAATCACAGGTACAAATAAAAGTACACTGACAATGATTGTAAAAAATAAAATATGTGTAAGTTGTGAAACAATAAATTGAAAAAAATAAAATTAAGTAAAAAAAAATGTTAAAAACGAATATTTTGTATATATAAAAGGAAAAAAAAAATTTAAGACACTATGTACCAGACAGACTAAGTAAATCAATTCTTTTGGTATATTCCCTGAATTTTTTTAAATCTCTAATCTCAACAATTTCCCTAGGTAATTTGTTCCATAAGGAGACTATGCGAGCAAAGAAGTTATTTTTTGACTTGCTAGTGAATCTTTTATTTTGTAAAAGATGAATTCTTCTTTTGGCCCTTTTAGTTAGAGTAAAGTATTTTTCTTGTTCCAAATGTGTGAAATTATTAAGTATTTTATAAGTCGTGCAAAGATCGGCAAGTACTCTTCTTTCCTCTAATTTTTTTAATTTACAAATTTGTAGTCTAATTTCATAAGGTTTATCAACTAATCCGCATTGTTTAAAGGCTTTTTTGGTAAAGATTTTTTGAATTTTTTCAAGGGAAATTAAGTGATCTTTTCTTAAGGGACTCCAAATTTCAGTCGCGTACTCTAAGAGAGGACGCAAATATGTTTTGAATACAAAAACTAAATTATCAAGATCCTTGGATTTAAATATTCTAAATATTTGATACATCATTGAATAGGCTTGTTTTGTAATTTTAGTTATATGTGCAGAAAAGGATAGATCTGTGTCTATTAATACTCCAAGATCGCGAACACAATTCTCTTTCTTGATTGGTTGTCCATCTATAAAATATTGTTGCTTATTATTATTCTTACCTATGTAGAGGCAGACGCATTTATCTATAGAAATACTTAATCCATTATTTTTAGCCCATTTTTCAATTATTAAAAGAGATTCTATAAGCTTATTTCTATTGTTATCATTGTTATGTTCTACATACTGTTTAATATCATCAGCATATATTTTAACATTAACACCCTTAGGCAGATGTTCAGGTAAATCGTTAATAAATATTACAAATAACAAAGGGCCAAGTACACTACCTTGAGGAACACCAGAATGAATGGGATATTCTTCAGAAAAGTCTTGCTCAATTCGGACTTTGAACTTTCTATTGTTCAAAAAATTACTTAAAAATTTGAGTATTTTTCCATCAATTCCAATGTATTTAACTTTTTGTATCAATAGTTCAATAGGGACAGTGTCAAAGGCTTTTTTAAAGTCAATATATACTATATCAACTTTATTGCCTCTATCTACACAAGAATAAATTTGGTTTAACATGGTAAGGAGTTGCGTTACAGTTGAACACTGTTTAAGGAAACCAAATTGTTCAGTACTGAAAAAATCTTTGTTTCTAAGAAACTCTATTAGTTTATTTGCTAGTAATCTTTCGAAAGTTCTACAGAGAGTGCATGTAAGTGCGATGGGTCTATAATTGTCAGTTATAGTTTTATCAACTTTCTTAAAGATCGGGATAACTATAGAATGTTTCCAGATTTCAGGTATTTCACCTTCGTCAAGAATTAATCTAAATAATTCAGTTATGATATGAGATAGTGTAAAAGCACATTTTTTTAATAGTATATAAGGTACGGAGTCTGGTGAGGTAGAGTTTTTATTGGGGAGTTTCTAAGAAGTTTGAAAATATCTAATATATTAAATTGAATATCTTCAATTTTATCATCAGATTTAGTAAAATTAGATCCTATAACTAGTTCTGAATTTTTCTTATTAAAGGCTTTCTGAAAGGTTATACCCATAGCATTACTTTTAGCTTTATCTGATAGACATATTTCTCCATTTTTGTCGAAAAGTGTGGGTACCTGTATTACAGGTTTTAGTTTATTCTTAAAATACTTATAGACTGAGGATCTGCCTTTAGACACAATTTTCTTATCCTTTTCTGTGTAATAATCTCTAGTTATTTTTCTTAACTGTCTTGATATTATTTTATACTTAAGTTGGATTTCATTGTTATCCGGGTCTTTTTTTGATTCCTTGAATAATTTAAGCTTGTTTCTTGATAACTCAGTTATTCTTTTTGGATAATTTTCTTTGATGATATTATTTAAGGGTTTTAAAGGCATTACTGAATCGAAAAGGTATAGCATAGTATCAGTAAAAGCATTGTATTTAGAATTAACGGTAAAGTAAAAAGAGAGTTGATCTGTCCATTTGTAATTTGCATATTTCTCATTTAAAATTGAGAAATTGTTTTCAGTTAATTGCCTTTTGTAAACCTTTTTTTATGCCTATTAAACGGTATTGAGGAATTTATATTAAAAGTTATCATATTATGGTCAGAGTTTGAAAAGTTTTCAGTAATTTTTACATTGCTCAATAAATTGGATGGGGAAGAGAATATTAAATCTAATGTGGATCTAAGTCTAGTAAATTCTGTAACGTGTTGTGTGGAATTTGTCTGAAACATAAAATCTAACAATAGTTTACCTTTTTGGCAATTAAATGAATAATCAACCCAGTTAATATTGGGTATGTTCATATCACCACATAAAATAAATTTATTCTCAATATTCTCATATAAAAATTTTAAAATCTTTTTTGTGTTCTCTAATGAACAATTTGGAGGACGGTATATCAGAAAAATATTTATTTTTTGGGTAAGAACAGGTTGATATTGATAAGTTCACACTGATATTTGGAACAAGATAAAATGGTTTTAAAAGGAATCTCTCTTGATATTAAAATTGCGCACCCACCCCCGCGCGTTTTTCTGTTGGCTAAAATAACATCATATCTGTTATTGATGGATAATTCTGTTTCAATATTTTTTCCGCGCTAATCCAGGTCTCATTTATAAAAATTATTTTAGGCGAGGTTTTTTCAACAAGGAAACTTAAATCTGAGATTTTATTCACAATAGATCTAGCATTTAAAAAAATACAGGGAATATTATTTAAAGTCAAATTAGGTTTATGAGTCGAGTTAGGTTTGTGATTGCTTAATTTTACCTATGCCTGTCTTGTACGAAGTGGTCTTGGATTGGACAATTCCATAATTTTTAAATCAACGACAATAAATTTATATAAATTAAGGTTTTTATTTAACTCATAAGCTTGTTTTCTTAGTGAATATAATAATTTGAGCTCAGGAGGAGACATATCTCTACGACAAAATGATTGTTGGGGATATTTTTGAGGATTGGATTTAACAACTTTACGAAATGTTTTTAAAAATTTGTCACGTGATTGTGAGGATTTGAAATGAATTTTATAAATTTTTGGTTTTAAAACATTTGCCTCACGTTTACCAGCATGTCGATGAATTTCCTTCTCATCCAACTCCTCTACCAGACTACAATCATTCACAATTTCACGTAAAAGATTGTTGTCTCCATCAGATTCTGGAAATTTTTCAACCACTGCAGTTTTTGATTTATTAATTATGGTTTCTTGGTGTGAAGTGTTGTAATTTGAAATATCAATAACTACATTAGGATCATTATTAATTTATTGATTGATTTTGCCCCGCCCCTAAAGGAACGTGCGGGGAAAATAGAAGTGTGATGACTCATCTTAAACCTTTTGTCACTGTCTAAAATGCAAGTGACAAAATGGTACAAGTCAAAACACCATTTGCCAAAACGCCATTTTTAAAAATAAGTTCCCTGTGGCGGAGTCGATCCGGTGACTCTTAGCCTAAAGGCGGAGACACTACCGACTCCGCCACAGGGAAGCTTTATTAAAATAGGTTATTTAGTTAACATAAACCCTTTGTTATAATCAGGGACAGGTCAATTCACGGAATATATTAAAAATTGGAATTTTTGAAAAAATCTGAATATTTTTAAAAAATAAGACTTTCTAAAGAAATTAGAATATTTTAAAAGAGGGAGGGTAAAAAATTCTGATTTGTAAAAATATTCTGATTTATAAAATATTCCGTGTTTTGGTCGTTCCGTGAGTTGATAATTCGGTGACTTGTCGTTCCGCGTCGTGTCTGTTCCGCGAGTGGGATTTACTCGAGTTACCCCCCGCCCAAAATTGCGACTCAACTGGTATTATTGAAAAGAGAAACTCTCATCTAACGAAAGAATCATATTGATTAGCACTGCGGGGCTCTTCTCTTTAGCGGCTTGCTTTTCACACATTTTCGCCCTACATAACAAACATTTAAAGAATAAAATTTTTTAATATTGAGATTTCTAAATTATTTTTAGGGTAAAACCTAATTTTTTGAAATGTCTAATTGTTAGACATTGAATTTGTAGTGTTCGGGGAGGGTGGGTGGGCAGCAACCAGCATATGACCGGTGGCCGTTTTGATTTTGACGATGGCGGGACATAATGTGGTGGTTGGGAGGAAGGGTAAAAATTATTTTTTATAAGGAAAATACTTTTTTTATTTTATAGAAAAGCACATGGACCTGGTGTTTGTACAGGCCTAATGGACAGTAAGAATTTACTGGAGCATGGCACTATGGATTTGAGGTTGTGTTCTTATAAAAATTTTTTTTAATTTTTCTTAGGTTTGTGGCGCTTATACTGGGCCTTCTGGAATTCTGGCTAATGACAGAATGGGAAACGGCACGACCTTGGTGTTGAAACTGGACTTTTGAAATTTATTGGATTGGTTGGGATTTTTTTTAAAAATTAATTTTGAAAAAAATAATTTTTTTAAAGATGCCTGGATCTTATTTTATTCGTCCATATTACAAGAATATAAATTTAATTCGAGTTCTTTTTCTGTTCAAATAAATGAAGGAGAAGAAAAGGAATTAATTTTGGAAGCAAAAAGAATTGCTTACAGGTTTTTTAAAATTGTAAATAAATTTTAATTACTCTTATTATAGTGCTTTTGGAAAAGTTTCAACAATTGGAAGTAGGCCTTTTAAATTTCCAATTCGTGTTGAGGCTATTTCTGTTGGATGTGAGAATCATCAGGTTTTTTTAAATTTTATTGGTTTTCCCTAAAATATGGCTAAAAGTCGAAGTATTGTTTTTATCCATTTGAGACGGGCTGTCTAACAATAAGCTGACAATGAGAAATTTATTTAACTATTTCTTGCTTTTGTTGTTTCTGAATGTCAATCAATTTTTTTCCTTTTTAAGGAAGAAGTTTAATAGATCAACGTTCTGGTGATTTTCGAATTAAAGGACTTAAACCTCAATGCAATTATCAAATTTATTTAAAAATGCTGAAGGAGGTGAAAGTATTCCTGTCTTTCCCTCTTTCTTTAATTTAATTGTAATTTTTTTAAAATTTTAATTTCAAAAATTTTCAAAAAAATTTAGGTTGGAACAGAAAATAAAAATGATATAAATTTTTCAAAAGTTTATTCGGGTACTAACAAACGACGCCGTTCTCTCTCGGAGCGTTCATTGGCAGTGAAAAGAAGTTTGAAAATCTTGCCTTAATTTTATTTAATTTTTATCACTCTTAAGGCATTCTTCAACGAATTAGAAAACAAAATTCAACTTGAGACTTTATTCACCAACAAAGAGTATTTTCGTCTGCTGGTGGCGCTTCTTCACTTCGTTCAAGTGGAAGTACTTTAAGCTGTACTTCTGATGAAGAAGATTCGGGTGATTTGAGGCATCCTCAAAATTCTAAACTTCTCGAGTTGCTGCTGAGGTTTCATTTTTTAAAGATATTTTCGAGTAGATTATTTGTCACTGGGTCGTCGGTTCTTTGAAAATTTTTAGATATCCGAAACCGAACCGAAAAATCCTCAGTTTTTCGTGTGGGTTCCGATTCAAAACCTATTTGGTACTACTACCAAGGAGGGGCGGAATCAGTTTTTAAGAGTTTTCCTCACGAGTTTTAGTACTATTTTCTGCTCTTTTAGGTTATTCTGCTCCTCTTAAAGTACTGTCATTCCTTTTTGATTTAATTAATGTTTAACTTTTATTTCTAAAAATTTAGGCAGCAACATTAAAGAAGCACCAATCGACGCAAACGCTGTTGAAATTTACCGAGGTGAATGGAAAAATGATATGCGCTCCGGTTTTGGTGTTTGTGAACGTTCAGACGGTCTTCGTTATGCTGGGGGGATGGTTAGAGACGGAACGTTCGTTTTTTCTAAAGTTTTTTAAATTTTCTAAAAAAATTTTTTGCAGTAAAGAAGGAAGATATAAACACAATGCTCTTGTTAGCCCAGCTAGACGGAAAGGCATACTTTTTGTCCGTTAAACAAAATTGAGGCATCGAGTAGAAATTTATGCTGAGCATGCTAGGCAAGCTGCTGATATGGGTTTTTTACTTAAATTAAAAAAATATTCAAATTAAATTTAGCTGCACAACGTGTTGAAATTGCTACATTAAGAACAATGACAGCACAAGTATTCCTTAAAAATGTTTTTTTATTAAAAAAATATTTTTAGGAACGCGCTGATACTAGCGTTGAAGCTGCTGATCGAGCAAGGGATGATGGAGACACTGCCCGTATTTATGCTGCACAGTTTGATCCTTGTTTTAAACAGCCCGGCGTAGAATTATTACGTGCTAGAGCAGCAATGCAAAGGTCGGGAACTCCTGGACAATCTGCCGCCATTCCAATGCTTACACCGGTAATAATTCTGCCTGTATTTCTCTTAAAGTTTATTTTAAATGGAAATTTAATTAATTTTTCACTCAAAAATCCTTTTTAATGTTTATTTATTTTTCAAAGGTTTCTGTTCCTGTTCAACTGTGCACAATTACATTCTACTCTGAAACTCCTGAATCCACTATTGTTGTTAAAGGTCAAAGAGATCAAGCAGAGAAAGACTTGAAAAAACTTCGTGAGAGTGAAGATGTTTGTTTTTAATTTATTAATTTGCAAAATCAAAATTATAATTTTAAAAAACAGAATTTTTAATTACCAAACCAGCTTTGGAACCAAAATTTTGATTTAATTCTGATTTATTTATAGGTCCAAGCTGAAATTGACTTAATTTCTGGAGAGGCTTCAAAAGCTTATACTGGAGCTCCTTCCTCTAAGAAAGACATTTATGGTACCAAACTTCCATGGCCCTTGGTACTTGTTTTGTTTATGATGATTTCTCAGCAATTGAGTGGAATTAACGTTGGTGGGATTTTTGAGGAATTGTTTTTAAAAATTATATTTTAGGAATGTTTTAGTCAATTGCTATGTATTTTTAAGGGAACCGGTCTCAAGAACAATGTGAGAGTTTTTTTAAAAAAATTTGTTAACGAACTATTTTAAATTTTTGTTTTAAGGGCTTATGCAACAATTGCAATGGTTGCTATAAATGTTTTAATGACTGCTGTGTCTGTTTATTTGGTAAAATATTGGAAAGCTTTATGTTACTATTAAAAATTTTTAAAGGTTGAACATCTCCGCTTTGGACGTGGAACTCTTAACATTAACTGAATGTTCGGAATGTTTTTCTCAACAGCAATGATTGCTATTTCTATGCTTGTTGCTAAGGTGGGATAAAAACATTTACAAATCAGAATTAAATAAAAATCAGAGACAGAATACATACTAGAATTTATATATCAAAAAACCAGAATTTATTGAACAAAAACCAGGATTAATTTAAAAATAAATCCAAATTAAACTATTGATATGGGGTTTTTATAAACTAAATTTTTCATATTAAAATCATTCTTTAGCTCCACAACGGTTTGAAATTGCTACAACAAGAACAACGACAAAACAAGGATTTATTTTGGCAGCTGGTTCTACTCCCTTAACACCTCGTTAAAGAAGGTGCTTAAAATGATAAAAACAAAATTTTACATTATTTAATTTTTTATTTGATTTTTGTCATTGGTGAGCGCAAGGATCTTTGCGTTTTTCTGTCTTGCATTAATTTTAGCTTTATTGCGTTTTAATAAAAAATGTCTCTTGCGCTCATCCGAGTGTTACATTCCAAACTTTTTCCAACCAAAAAAAAAAGGTTTCCAATGAAAGAAAAGCATTAGATTAAATCTCTGTAAAAACAAAAATTTCTCTTTCCTAATTTACCACAAATCATTCTTATTTTTGTAATAAAATTTTTTAGTAAATAAAATCATTAACTTATTTAATTAACCATTTTTATTTGAGAAATTTTTGTTTTACTTAGTTTAATTAATTTTAAATTTAATTTTTTAAATTCTATTTTATTTATTCAAAAATCTTTTTCAAAGTTTAAATTATGCCGCGTACTAATTCATCAAGCTCTACAAATCAAAATAGACGCCGTGGAAATCCCTCATCTAGCCCCGGCCCCCCGGCACGTCGCAGCAGAATAATTGAATCTACAACACCGTCACCAGGCCCAACAATTCCTGCCGATCAACGACTAATAGAAAATTATTTAAATAATCAGCTCCGTCTGCCGGCAAACACAAATGTAAAGTTTTCCATTATTAATTTAAAAATATATAAACACATCTAATTTAAAAAATTATTTAAAAATTTCAATTTAATTTTTAAGGTAACTCAAGCAATCTCTTCTAATACAACTTCAACTACTACAACTAATCAGCGCCAAGTAAATTTTTTAAATAAATTTTTTTAAATTTAAGACAAACTAGTTTTAGTATAAAAAATAATACAAAATCATTAACTCTAGAGCCTTTATTAGTTTAAAAATATATAAACACATCTAATTTTAAAAAATTTATTTAAAAATTTCAAATTAATTTTTTTAAAGGTAACTCAAGCAATCTCTGCTAATACAACTTCAATTACTACAACTAATCAGCGCCAAGTAAATTTCTATCATAAATAAATTTTTAAAAAAATTCAAATTAATTTTTAAAGGTAATTCAAGCAATTTCTGCTAATACTACTTCAACTACACCAACTACTACAACAAATACAATTAATCAGCACCAAGTAAATTTTTATTATAAATAAATTTTTTAAAATTTAAAACAAAATAGTTTTAGTAAAAAATAATATAAAATCATTAAATTTTTTTAATTTTAACAATTAAAGATGATGCCTGCTAATATGATGCCTGCTAATAATATTAATGAGCAACAACAACAACAAAGTCAAATGCGCCTAGAAGTGGCGGCCGAAGTAAATTTTTTAAATTTTGTATTTTGAAAAAATTTAAACATTTAAAAAAATTAATTTTAATTTAAGATTGCACTAAAACGACAGCAACGTTTAAATAGCAGTCAACCAGAAGCTGCTCGTTTCATCAACTCAATTGATAGTGTTTCTAATTTGACAAACACTGATCTTTTCATGATTGGATGGCAGAAAGACAATATCTTCCCGTAAATTTTTTAAAATTAAAAAAAATAATAATTAAAATTTTTAAGGGAGTTGGTTGGGGAAGTAATTTTTACACATAGGGGGCCAACTCCGAAGCACGGTTGGGATCGAACGGATTGCCACGTTCAAATTGGCAGAGAAGGAGAAAAAGAAACAATTTCTATATTTTCTTGGAAGAATTATTCTGATCGTCTACAAGAAGCAAAACTACATGATGTAATTTTTGAAAAAAAATTTTTTTTAATATAAAATTTTGAAAAAAAATTTAAATTAAAAAATTTTAAATAAAATTTTTTTATTAGATTGTTAAATTTAAAAATTTACTGGTGGTCCCAGAAACCGGGCCTCGTCAACAATGGACTGGCACTGTCGATATAAAATTTAAATTTATTGCATCGTCCAAAATAGAAATTATTCAAAGACAACAAAACAATTCTATAGAGACAGGGCCATCTTCTTCTGCTGTTATATATGCTTCGCAAACTGGTTCAGGCCCTGCTCAAGATGAAGAAGAGGATGATGTGGCATATGTGGGTTAAATTTTTTGAAAAAAAAACTTACGATTTTCACTTTCAATTTAAAAAATTCAAATTTTCATTAACTAATTATTTAAATTTGTAATTCAATTTCTCAATAAAAAATTTTTTAATAAAAATCATTAATTTAATATTTTTAAATATTATTTACTTTTGTAATATTTCATTTACATAGATCTTCTTATATAATAAAATTTAATATGAATTTTTTATTGAATATAATTAAAAATTATTTTAATATTTCTTTTAATAAATTATTATAAAATATTAATCATTACGTTTATTATTGAATTTACAATAAAACTTTATATGAATTTTGCATTTAATATAAATTTTTATTAAACATATATTTTGTTATTGAATATAATTATAAATTTCTTTAACATTGTATTTTATAATCTATTATTGAATTTTTGATTAAAATTAATGTTTTTACTTAAATTTTTTATTAAACATAAATTTCGCTATTGAATATATTTAATTTAAAAATTAAATTACATAAAAAATTAAATTTTTAATATTTCATTTAAAAAGATATATAATATTTATCATTATATTTATCCTTGAATTTTTGAATTTAAATTTGAAATTTTTATTGAATATAAATTTTTATTAAATATAAATTTTGTTATTAAATATAATTAAAAATTTATTTACAATTCATTTAATAAATTATTATAGAATATTAATCATTACTTTATTTAAAGGTTTGATTTATCTTTTATTATTGATTTTTCAATAAAATTAAATATGAATTTTTGAATATGAATTTTATATTAAAAACAAAAAATTTTTATTAAATTTCTCTTATTATTGAATTTAGCTTTAAATTAAATTAAATTAAATTTGCTGCTAAACTGATGATAGAAATAATTATTCATAGTTTAAAAAAGTATTAGATAAGTTAAATTATATATTTTTATGCTTAAAAATTATTTAAAAAATTTAATAAATTAATTAAATTTAAAAATTTTTATTTTTAAAATCTTTTTAATTTTTAAAATTTTTTTATTTTTTTTATAATTATTTAAAAAATTTTAATTTTTTTATTAATTTAAAAAATTTTTTAAATCTTTTTAATTTTTAAAAATTTTTTTAAATTTTTAAATTTTAATTATTAAAAATTTTTTTAATTTTTAAAATTTCTAAAATTTAAAAAAATTTTAAAATTTTTTAAATTCTAATTTTTTTAATTTTTATATTTAAATAAAACATTAATTTTTCAGTCCTCGGCCTCCCAACAAAATGCAAGTATAAATGTTCAACAACCAATTCGGGTAATTAAATTAAAATATACAAGTGTATCTAATTTTTTTAATTTTTATATTTAAATAAAACATTAATTTTTCAGTCCTCGGCCTCTGAACAAAATGCAAGTAGAAATGTTCAACAACCAATTCGGGTAATTAAATTAAAATATATAAGTGTATTTTTTATTAGTTGCGTGATATTTTGAGCACGGCCGGGCACACACCACCCCCTCTTAATTATTCTATTCCGCGTGTAATTCGTGATGAGGAAAGAGAATTTGCTGAAATGTATAGAGGTCAAGGTCATGTATCCGATCACTATATTGCGCCTGGTGGGTTATCAATGGCTCGAAGAGATACAATAATGAATTCAAGCATTAAATTGCCTAGTAATTTTATTTCTGACGGGACATTGTGTGGACCTTGCAATATGGAATTCGCCCCACAGCAAAATATTATTATTTTACAATGTAATCATAAAATCCATCGCAAATGTTTTTGGAATTTATCACGAAATTTTAATTTTTGTCCGTTATGTCGTCAAGAGATGGGGCCTAGGACTGAAAATAACGAATAGTCTAGTTCTAAATCGGTATTAAGTTTTTATTGGACTATACGTTATTTTAAGTCTTGGGTCGTATTTAGGTGTAATATTTTTAAAAATATATAATTTAAAAAATTCATTTTTCAATTAACTTTATAAAAATTATATATTTTTTATTATCTAATTATATAATATTTTTGTCCAAATCTCAATTTTTTTATATCTAAATGGTTTTTAAAATTTTTGCAAAATATTTATAATAAATATATCTCTTTAAAAATTATATCATAAATAGTTTTAAAAAATTATATTATAAATATTTTCAAAAAAAAAAGCTTGATTATCAATATTTTTTTGTTATTTTTAATTTTAATTTATTTAAAATTTTTAATATTTTAATATTTTAATATTTTAATTTTAATATTTTTAATTTATTTTATTTTTAACTTTAATTATATAAACCTTAAATTTCTGAAATTATTTTAGCCTTTATCTTTATTGCCTTAAATAGTTAATGCTTCAGCTATAAATTGTTTTTAAATTATTTTAAGTAAATATTATGAAATTATTTGTTATTAATTTTCCATTTAAATCAATATTAAGTAGTTAAAACCCACGTCGTCGCTCTAAGGGGTATACAAGGATTAATGTCTAGGTGTGCTAATCTGTTTATGGATTTTTAATAAATAACTAAATGAATGGATAAATAATAATAATAATATAAATTCAGGACATTAACATGAACAACAACAACTACTTCACAATTGAGCGAGTCACCGAATTCAATTCTCGCTCACGAAATACTTTTGGCCAAATTTGCCATATTCGATTCAACCCGCTTGAAGATCATCAGAGACCCGATTTAGCAATGACCGTTCTAATAAGTCATTTGCTAGATCGGGTGCTCGCCGGAAGACCAGCGCCCCTTCGTGTTGGTCTTCAGGTGCAGCCACCGAATTTCCAACATGCATTTACGATTCCGCTTCGTCCACTGGACCAAAATAATCCTGCAGCCTTGGCCGCAGCGATTGAACGACTGAACGAAATCTCTGCCGCTGGCATAGATTTGTTAAGTGGGACAACTGTGACAAAAGTCGTGGGAGTTTGGCCATTAAATGCGCAAAGGACTAATAATCCTGATGCCCGATCTGGTAGGTCGATACTAGTCTTATATTTTTTATGTAAATATAAGGCTGCTATTTTCCTACAGGAAGTTGTGATTTGGAACTCGACCATGTCTTATCGTCCCGTTGCCGATCGATTGTGCGCGTTCACAATCCAACCGACAGATACTGCCTTGCTCGTGCAGTAGTTATCGGTCTGGCAAGAATTAGGATGGTGGATCAAGGCGTTGCCAACGGAGCCGCTAGATTTAAAGAATTTTGTCAACAACAGCAACAACATTTATTCCCAGCAGAAAATTTAATGAGAAATGCAGGACTTGATTTTGGACTTATGGTATATTTTATTGTTTTAACCAATTTTTTAAAGTTATAAAATATTTCAATTTCAGGCATATTCTCTTGAACATGTTGCAATTTTGCAACGTTGGCTTAACCAACACTTTGATGGTGAAGGATACGTACGTATTGTTGTCTTTCAAAAGGAACAACAATATAGAATAGTCTATAAGGGTGATGGCAGAGCAGCACGATACAATTTATGTTTACTTCTTGAAAATGGGCATTATCATTATATTGGACGCCCTGAACAACTTTTTTCTGTGCAACGCTTTTGTATCGATTGCGAACGTTCTTATACCCGTTGGAAACATTGGTCCGGGTGTAGTGTTGTTTGTAGATTCTGCATGCGATCAGGTGCTAATTTCCCTTGCCAGGTAAATTTTAATTAAATGTAACAAAAATTTTTAAATTTTTCTTGGATTTTTAATTAAATACTAATTAATTAAGATTGAGGAAAAAGTGGCATGTCAAAATTGTGGATTTATCTTCCCATCCCGTCCGTGTTATGATTATCATCTAATAAATTCTGCCCCTGAAGAATTAATTAGATCCGATCGACGCACTTTTGCTTCCATTTGCCAAATGCGGCGTATCTGTAGCATATGTCACCATATTATTTATGAACAACAGCAACACGATTGTCTTCAACAACAACAACAACAAAATTTAATTTGTAATAAATGTCATGGTCCTCACTCTGAGGATTTACCATGTTATATTCAGCCTTTAAATGTTCAAGAAGATTCAGAGTCTGATGAAGAAAATCCCCAACAACAAAAGAAACGACAACGTCCTCCAATACGATTTTGCTTCTTTGATGCCGAGACAAGCCAGGATGAAAATATACAAATTACCTGCAATATCAATGGATATATACATGTTCCAATACTTATAATTGCCGAGGTAATATTTTAAAGTTTTTTTCAAATTAGAATTTCATTCAATTTTTATCTATAATAAAAATTTTTATCAGGTAATTTGTGAGAACTGTATAAAGGCTGGAATTACAATTGAAGATGCAGGGCAGCGTGCTGAAGGATGTTTTTGCGGGAAACCTCGGGGAGCTAGATGGCGTAACTGGTGCTCCCCACCTTTCAAAAACGCTGAGGGCGACAACACCCCCTTTCCTGACAAAATTTCATTTAATCCACGCCGTTTGTTTTTCCATTCCTTCGATAACGAAAATGAGAACCCAGTGGAACAATTTCTTGATTATCTTCTTCACCATGGGTCACAGCAAATGCTAACAATTTGTATAGCACACAATGGTGGAAAATACGACTTTCATCTAGTGCTTGAAGCTTTACACAGGCGCAATGAGCCCCCATCAAGATTATGTACAACGGGGCTTAAAATATATTCAATGAAGTTAGCGGGAAACAACAAAAGAAAAGTTTTATTCAAAGACTCGCTCAATTACTTCAATTGTGAGCTTGATGCTCTAACAAAAATTTTTTCTATGCCAGAAGAAGTAGCAACATCCAAGCCTTTCTTTCCTTATCTTTTTGTAAAAAGGCAAAATCTTCATGATAGAATTCGAGGACTTCCTCCACTTCATCATTATCAGCCTGAATATAAAAATTCTGTGAAAAGAGCAGCACTTCTCGAATGGCACCAACAACAATTAAATGATCGAAATACAAATTTCCAGCTCCGTGAACAACTAATCCTTTATTGTGCCAATGATGTTGCTATTCTCCGCGAAGGAGTGCTACGATTTCGACAGCTTATTGGACAACACACGCAGAAGCTGGATCCCTTCTTGGAAGCATCAACTATTGCTGGTCTAGCTCTCATAACTATGCGCAGATGTTTCTTGCCTGAGAATTGGCTCGTCCATTCCCCTGAAGGAGGGTATCTGAGAGGAAGGCGTGCCTCTGCTGAATCGCAGCGTTACATCCGCTTATTCGAACAACAAAACCCTGAAGCAGCAGGAAAGGTTCAGCATGCACAATGGGCCGTGGGAGAAGCACACGTGGAAGACTGTGGGTATAGATTGGATGGTCTTTGGCAACGATCTCCCCCACAGCGCCCACTGGCAATTGAATATATGGGTTGTTACTTCCACGGTATTTTAAAATAGATTTTTTTATATATAAACTTTTCATTTAGGCTGTCCCAGATGCTTCCCTCGTCGGGATCAACGATTGGCCGCTGGTCGTACTGCTGAAGAACTTTATGAACGGACACAACAACGGCTTTGGGAATTGGAACACCAGCATGGATTTGAACTTCATGTTATTTGGGGACATGAGATGATGGAAAAATTAAAAAATAATGCTAAGCTACGCCGGCTATGGAATGAAATTGATTGTGTGCGTCCACTTGATCCCAGGGAAGATTGTCTGAGAGGTGGTAGGACAGAACCGTTCAAACTTCATCATTTTTGTGGGGCTGATGAGGAGATAATCTACATAGATATTGTAATTTTTATTCATTAGATTATAACTGTTTTCAATTTAGGTAAGTCTCTATCCCTATGTGATGAAGTCAAGGCCTTTCCCTATTGGACATCCTAACGTTTTGTCTCGGGAAACATTGTTGGATCCATCAAACAACAACAACCGTCTGCCTTGGACAATTCCTGAGCACAACATCTATAAAGGATTGCTTCTTGTCCGAGTGGAGCCTCCAACATGTTTGCCTGGAAATCTTCCTCCTCTACTACCTTATCGAACATTTGATGGCCGGCTCACATTTCCACTTTGTGCAAAATGCGCCGATGATAAACAACAAAGACCTTGTGCGCATTCTAGCCGTGAGCGTTCCTGGTTGACTGGCTACACACACGTGGAGCTGAATGCTGCTTTGGAATATGGGTATAAAGTCGTGGATATTTATGAGGTTATCAATTAACTTTTTAAATATTTAAATTAAATTATAGGTTTGGAATTATGATCATTGGGACGACACTCTTTTTCAATCTTATGTCAATACATTCGTGCGATTAAAGCAAGAAGCAAGTGGCTGGCCTGATGGCTGTATTTCACAATCAGAAAGAACTGAATATTTAGAAGAATTTGAACGTAATGAGGGAATTCGTTTGGTTCCGGAGCGTATTGAGAGCAATCCAGGTCTTCGAATGATTGCGGTATTTTTTTAAATATCTCAGAGTAAAATAAATTATTTTAGAAATTATTGGCAAACTCACTTTGGGGCAAACTTGCACAGCGTGTTTGTGGAACTGAAGTCCGTTACGCCAAAACACCATCAGAATTTCATCAATTATTTGAAGATCCAACAACAGAAATGCTCGATTTTGACCATGTTAGTGAGCATTTAGATCGATGTGTAGTCCAGAAAAAGGCAGAATTTGCCAAAGCACCAAACACCAACTGTATTCCTGTAGCAGCGTTTGTAACTTCATATGCTCGTTTACATCTTTATGAGTATATGAAGAAAGTTCATCAAATTGGCGCCCGTCTCCTGTATTGCGACACCGATTCCTTAATCTATGTTGGGAAGGTTCATGGTCCATGTGTACCCGAAGGCGAATCACTTGGGAAAATGAAACGTGAAATTCCTTCACGTCGAATTCTGGAATTTGTTGCTGGAGGCCCAAAGAACTATGGCTACAGACACGTCGACTCAAATACAGGGATGGATGAGAGAGCAGAGCTAAAGATCCGGTCTTTTCCTCTCTCATATGCTACACATCAACTTTTGAATTTTGACAGCATGAAGAATATTGTGCTTGAACAATTTGATGTTGATGGAATAATGTAAAATTAATCTTTTATTTAAATGTAACAAAATTTTCAATTAGGGATGAAGCGCTTGCTGATGACATCTTCAACAGGACTGGTGGAAATGGCAATTCAATATGTGTGCAATTCCCTCAGATTGGCAGAACCCGACGATCACAGCTTTATACGCACATGACAACAAAACAATATAGACCGTATTATGAAAAGGGAAGAATAATGCCGGGGATGGAGACTCTTCCATTTGGATTCAGAGAAATTCCGGTATTTTTTCTTTAAATATTTTTTAAAAAATTTAAATATCTTTTAAAATTCAGAATGATCTTGGACACCAACGACAAAGACAACCTGAACAACCTTATAATGCTGAACCGCAAACTAGACAGATAGACGATTCTATTCTCAATTTAGAAGAAGTTCCAGGTTCATCAAACTGGACAAATCGAGATTATTTAACTAGATATCATCAATAATTTTGTAAAAATTTTTTGTTTGTTTACCACACCACAAAAATTTATGCTGATATTATTTGTAAATATTTTATTTTTTAATAAATTTTATAATCGTGGAAATTTTTCAAGCAATGGTAGTATATCCTTTTCAAAAATAAATTCCATTTCTTTTTGAGATTTTAATCCTGTCAGTATTACACGTCCTGAGATATAACAAAGGCAGGAGGCTTCTCCATCCCTTCCTTCTATCTTGGTTTTGAAACGAAGTGCTGGGAATATTGTTGGTTCGTAATAACAAGTTATATTTTGTCTTTGCCGAAGATAAGAATATAGTCGTTCAATTGCCAACTTTTTTGGATGTCGATAAGCACCAACAATATTTGTAACGATAAGATTCCTCACACCAATTTTTAAATAGGAATAGTCAGTGCCTGTTGTCTTATATGAGGCTTGAATTCTTTTAGTTACACGCCAAGCCATTCTGTTTGCCAGAGAAGGGCTTGGAACACCAGTGAGAACAACTTTGCCAGATTGAAAAATAAGTGCCGCCGTAGTTTTATATTCTTGATGCCGAACACGCATAATTATTGAATGGAATCGTCGAGGATTATATTCTGTATTTATTCCATGGCGTGCAAGTTGAATAAAATTTTCATAAGAAAATCGTTTATTATAAGGAAGAAGTTTGAAAACAGCAGTACAATTTTCGATTTGCATAATATTTACTTTTCAGAAATAAAAAAATACAATATTTTATGTATACTAAAAATAAAATTATTGAATAATCAAAAATTTTTTAAAGTTTTAAAATTAAATATTTTCTATGAACATCCTCCTTTCATCTTGTTTCGGATAACACTTAGACATTCGAGCGGATAAAATGATCGATGGTGACCTCCTCCAAATTGAATAAGACACGGTAAATATGGGTGGCAGAGTTTGAGTTTGTGCTTGACGTAGTAGTAGCCGCGAACCTAAAGTAAAAACAATCCTATTTAACAGTTAATGTTAATTTACCGTTATTCCAAGATATCCTCCCATAGCCAGAACATTACTTGCAGATTGCGCTGTTAAATCATGGCAATAGACATTGAAATTTTTACAACTCGGCTTTAGATGAGAAGTACGTATTTGAACATCTTGTTGCAAATTTTTAATGATTTCTCGCCGAACATCGAGATTATGAAAAAGCACATGTAGTTCTTTAAGCGAACAGTTTTTCATTTCGCAAAGATAGTCAAGTAAAGGAATAGAGACTTTATTTGTTCGAACATGTTGTTTAGTTATTATTTTGTCAGTAGGGAAAATGGCTGAAGTTTGTGGTTGTGGTGTTGGTTCACGAAATGGATTTTCTGTTTCAGCAGTCCAATCTAATGGTTTATCCTCATTGTCGTCTATAACCATACGAAGTAATTTCTCACTTGCATCTAGATTTTTTTCATCATCAACCTCGTCTTCCTTTTCTTCGGTTAAATCATCTACGATGTTAAGTATTCCAAAAGCAGGTGTGATTACATCTATTTCATTCTAAAAATTTGCTTTTAATTTTTTATAAAAATATTTTTACCTTTTTATCTGTCTCTTTGGCTTCTTGATTAACTTGATTTGTTGTGTGATTTGTATTTGACGGAGGCTCATCGTCTTCAATAACACCCCAAGGCATGATATTATAAAATTCCATAATTTAATAATAAGATAATAAAATTCAACTTTCTATATATAATATTCTGAATTTAATTTGTATATTAGATAAAAATGAATGGATTTGAAAAAGTCAATATTATGCACACTGGTTTTAAACACCCGTTCACTATGATAGTATCCGGAAGCACAGGGTCTGGAAAATCAGAATGGGTTAAAAATTTGTTGGAAAATTTGGAGGAAATGGTTACTTATGAAAATGAAAAACATAATCAAATTGATTTAGTCTTTTATTGTTATGGTGAATTAAATTCTAATATTATAAATATGCAACGTAAAGGTTTTGTAAATAAAGGTAAAACACAAGTTATTGTTCATAATGGGTTGCCTAACGGGGGAAATGAATTTATAAAGCAACAAGCAAGGCATGGAAGAATGTTACTAGTGTTAGATGATTTAATGGTTGGGATGAACCAAATATTTTTAGATACAATATTTACTAAAGGGTCTCATAACTGGCAAATGAGTGTTATATTAATAACACAACATTTATTCAGTAAAGAATTAAAAGTCGCCCGTAATAATTCTCATTATCTTTTATTAATGAGAAATCCGGCAGGAGCTTTGCAAATTAGAACACTTGCAACCCAATTATTCCCTTCAAAATCAAAATACTTTCTGGAATCATATTCTAATGCTACAAAAGAAAACTTTGGATATTTGTTAGTTGATATACATCCTAGTACTCCCGACTTTTTACGACTTCGAACACATATATATTATAATACGGGAGAAAAAACTATAGTTTATATTCCAAAATGAATAAAAAAATTTCTACAAGCAAATTAATTGAGAAAAATGTAAGTTTCTTAAATACAGTTTGCGAATCTAAAAAATCTAGAAAGGTAATAAATGATATATTATTAAACGCATCCGCTGAACAGTTGTTATGCTTCGTTGAAATTTGTTTTAATTTATTAAAGGGGCGTTTACCTTTTCATAGAAATAGAATTATTAATTTGCAAAAACATGCAAATATATTGAGGAAAATCAGTAGATCTAGAAGTGCTTCCTCAACACGTTATTTATTGCAACAAGGAAACGGGATTTATCCTTTAGCGGGTATTCTTGCAAGTCTAGTTTTACCTTTAATTACCGATAAAATTTTTAAATAATATAAATAAAATTTGATAATATGAATTTCAATTAAAAATGAAGCGAATGATATTAATTCCTGAGGATTTTTATGAAAGTTTAGTAAGTAGTGATAAAATTGATGGAAATGGAGACGGGACGGCCTTAGGCTTAATAAAAGAACGTTTACAAAATACTAGTGCAAGCAATAATTCATTAGATCCTACAACAAAAGCAGCTCGTTACGAGCAAGATTTTAAAAGGTATAACAAGCTTATTAAAGAAAAAGAAGAGAAGCCCGTTGATGTGAAACTCAAAAATTTTGAAGAATTTGCCGATGCCGTAACTAAAAATGTCAATTTAAATAAAAGTCCAGTGGAAACAAAAGACGAGATTAATATAAATAAAAAATCTAGAAATATTATAATAAGAAAACACAAAAGAAACTCAATTGGTAAAGTTACATTAAGAAAGAGAGTCAAATTTCCAGCTCCAACAGTAAAGATAGAAAATCCTGATGGAATTGAGAATGAAGAGGGTGAAGAATTCTTTTCAGTAGATAGTGAAACAGATCCTAAAGAAGAAGCTCGTCAATATTTGAGAAAACATGCTAATGAACTTGGCATATTGCCAAGTGGTAAGTTAGCCAAGAGATTAGGCACACAAGAATCCTTTGTCACAAGTAATATTGAAGAGATTTTAAGCTATATAATTAAAAATAAGGGAAAACGCAAAAGGCCAATCCCTACCGGTTATGATGAGTTTATTCGTAGAATAAATAGTCATTCAATTTTACAAAATATACTTTTTCCTTCTACATCTTCAACTAGTAAACAGGAAGGTGGAGGATTTTTTAAACACACATTTTCATATAAACCAACATTATGGCAAAATTAAATAAAAACAAAATTAAAATTCTTGACAAGTTATACAAGAATGTTAATTCGACTTCATGTTTTACATCCGTTGAACCACTTTTAAAGGAAGCAAGGCGATTAGATAAAAGTATTTCTCGAAATATTGTGAGAGATTACCTTGCAAGCCAAAATGTTTATACATTACATAGAAGAGTAGTTAGAAAGTATAAGCGCATGCCAACACTAGCTCCAGGCTTACACACAGAATGGCAGGCCGATCTTAGTGTTTTTGATAAAATTAGTAAACATAATCGTGGATACAAATATTTATTAGTATGTATTGATACACTTAGCCGACAAATATTTGTTGAACCAGTAAAAAGTAAACATAGTACTAATATGATCGACGCTTTTAAAAAAATATTTTCTCGGGTCGGAATAATACCCTGGAAACTTTTAACAGATCAAGGATTAGAATTTACTGCAAAATTTGTACAAAAATATTTTCGCTCAATAGATATGGAACACTTCTCAATGCTCACTTCCCCAGTATGGCATGCAGGAATGGCTGAGAGGGCTAATCGTAGTATCAAAGAGCGACTTTACCGTTATTTTACAGAGAATAAAACTTTAAAATGGTTAGACGTTATCCAGAAAATTGTTTTGTCCATTAATCGTTCTTTTAACTCTAGTATTGGCATGAGACCTATTGATGTGAATTATAAAAATGCAGAACGTTTGCGATTATTATTAAAGCAAAAGGCTGTTGCAAAACACGCGCCATCAAGTTGGAGAAATAAAAAATTTTCTGTTGGGGATAATGTTCGTATAGAAAAATATAAACATATATTCCAAAAAGGATACCTACCAAATTTTACAAATGAAATTTTCATTATTGACCAGGTTCGATTGGTTCCCCATCAACCTCCAACTTATAAAATTCGCGATCGTAAAGGTGAAGAAATTCTTGGGTGGTTTTATGGGAATGATTTAATTCTCGTTAAAGAAGATCTTAAAAAGAATGAAAATATTTATGACATTGAAAAGGTTTTGAGAAAAAGGAAACGAAATGGTGTGGATTATCTTTTCGTAAAATGGAAAGATTATGGGTCTGAACATAACAGTTGGATACCTGCTAACTCTGTTCTTTGGAGATAATATACATAAATGAAATTTTAAATATTTAAAATAAAAATGACTTCCTTTTATATAATTATTCCATCCAATACTAATGTTGAAGGAAATAGAACTAATTCTTTTAGAGTTAGATTACCCCATAAACTAAAATTTAATTCTGAATGGAATGTTGGATTATCTGTCATGGTTTATCCTCATTCCTGGCCTTCACTTGGGACTACAACCGAACAAAATATAACAGTTGTTTGGAAAAGTGGTGAGATTGTTCGTTTAGCAGTACCTTCTAATAGTTTAACCAACCCTCTAAATTTAAAACAAAGCCTTGACAAATCTCTTAATGAAGGAAGTGAGGCACTTTCGGAAAAAATGCGCGGTTGTCAAATTGAGTATACCAATATATTAAAGGAAACACGAAGCAAGGCTAAGGAAGAGTACAAAAAATTAAAAGAACTAGTACAGAGCAGTAAAGAGGTATCTACAAACGTAACAACTGAAAAACATGTGATTATTCCTGAGGGCGAAATTCCTAAACTGAGAAGTGAAACAGAGATTTACAACGATATGGTTAAAGCAGAAATTGACAATTTGCCTATAGAAACTAGGAAAATTATTGAACTAACTCGTGAAAGTGGTTTTGAACCGTGGATTACAGCATATCGTAAACCAAAATTTGCATGTGACTTTGAGTTCCACTCACATAAAAATAGGTTTTCATTATTTATCGACAAGAAGTATATAGAACAAATTGAAATAAGCGAGCAGCTGGCATATATTCTGGGTTTTGATTCACAAGTATTAAAGGAATCTTGTGTTGCCAAATTTATGCCAGATATGAGAGGAGGGGTTTCTTGTTTTCACGTTTATGCACCAGGTCTAATTGAACCAATGATTATTGGGGATATTACCGCTCCAGTTCTCCGTATTGTAACCATTCGGGGAAAACAGGACGAAATAATTGAGGAACAATTTCTTTCTATTCAATATCATAAATTACTTGTTAAAGAAATTTCCGAAATTTTAATTGAAATTCGCACGACTAGCGGGTCCTTGATGCCTTTTCAATATGGAACATGTACATTAACATTACACTTTAAAAAATCTACTTACTTTTAATAATGAATACTATTCAGATTGATAAGATGTTAAACAGAAATTCTGTTACCAAAAAATATTATATCGGTTGTTATGCCTCTAACTGTATCCCTTATAAGTCAACCTATTCCCCTTTTTGTGCAGTAATTAACATAGATCCTAATAATTCACCTGGAACACACTGGGTAGCAATATTTTGTGATTCCATTAAAACTATTGAATACTATGATTCGTTGGGAATATGGCCACCGATGAGCTCCCATATTCGAGATTATTTAGAAAAATTTCAAAGAGTTCGATTTAATTCCATTAAACTTCAGGGTATGTTTACGCGCTCATGTGGCCACCATGCAATATTTTATCTCTATATGCGCTGTTCCGGTTTTCAGATGAATGAAATAATTTCATTTCTTAAAAATATAAATGCCGATAAGTTTGTAAAAGAATTTATTGCATCAAAGATATTTAATATACATAGTTAGATTAAAAATATTTTTTCAACTTAAAATGCATATCGACTTTGATCCCTCACATATTAATTGGTCAGCATTGACCGACGAGCCTAATCAGTGGGGTGGGTATAACGTATTTCGCGGGGTTCCTTACCAAAGAGGAAGTGGATTAGGTTCGGTATTTAGGAGTTTTCTCCGTTATCTCATACCTATTGGCAAAGAAATTGGTAGTGCCATAGGTAAACAAGGACTAGAATCGGGCAATAAAGTTTTAAGTAATGTTCTGGAAGGAAAGAATCTCAAAGAATCTCTAATTAATGAAGGCAAATCAGGGTTAAAAAATTTATTACAGAAAGCAGCAGATAACGTTGATAAACAAACTGGCAAAGGCTTTGATTTTAAACGTTATAAGAGTATTGAAAAGCATCCATCCCTTGGTCAAATGAATGATGAAAAAAATGATATAAAGCTTAAGACTATAAATAAGCGGGCATATTCCAGTATTGGCCCTCCTAATTTTATTCCTAATCTTGCTAGGAAACCTTCGAAAAAATCTCGTAGAAAAATTCCCGCTAACAAACGTTTACGAGTAGATACTTTGGGCACATACTAACATGAGTTGTCCTAAACAAATTAATGAAAATAGTCCTTTGGCCTTAAATAGTGCACTGAATATTTTTTCCGTTCCTCCAACTAATGTTTCTGTTATCCGTTCGTTTTTTCGAGAGATTCTACCCCTTAGCACAATAACGCAAGATTCGCCTTATTTGTTTCGTTTGTTCAGTGATAATCTCTGGACAGATCTTTCCAGAACTTATCTTTATCTTGAACTTTCTATTGAAAAGCTTGGTGACACAGGTAAATGGGAAGATATTGATTCGACTAAAGATACAAATATTGGAACCATTCAAGGTATCGGACAAACATTCGTTCAGCAATTAAAAGTTAATGTTGGTAATACTGAAGTTTACGATAGCGGTACTCTTTATCCATATAAAGCATATATAACCAATGAATTATCATTTCCTGACAATGTCAAGTCTAATTTTCTTGCATCAGTTGGGTACTATAAAAGCGAAAAGCATGATGATGCTTTTGATTCAGGATTTATAAACCGATGTTCACTATTTGCCGGGGGTAAAAGATCTCAGTTTCTTTCAAGGTTAGATTTTGATTTGGGAAACCAGGAATTATTTTTACTCAATAACTTAGATATAAACTTTAGTATCTATAGAAGTAAAAATTCATTTGTTTTGCATAAACTTAAAGCTGATGATAAAAATGAGTATAGACTTTATGTACATGACGTCAAACTTTTTTCTAAAATGATTGAAGTCCAGCCATCCCTTAATATGAACATTTACAAAACGCTTGAATCAAAGCCTGCTACATATGCCCTAAGAAGAACTGAAATGAAATCGACCTTTTTAACCGCGGGCCGCACAGAAATTGAATATAACGCTTTTAGCGCTACAATACCGAGAAGAGTCACAGTTTCTTTGGTATCAAACAAGGCATTTAATGGAGACATGGCACTTTCACCATTTAACTTTAAACCATTTGATTTGAGAGAAATCTCAGTACATACCGGTGGGCATATTTATCCCATGGTTGCTTATAAACTAAAATTTGAAAAAGATCTTTTTGTTCGAGCTTTCGTTGACATGTACGAAGCATTGGGGATGGCTAACTCTGATCGGTCAATCGATATTCCAATGTCCCGATTCAAAAATGGCTGGACATTTTTTGTAATACCTTTGACTTCAACACTTGACGACTCTTGTGGATTTGAGTTACTTAGAAGTGGTACTACAAGTATTCGTTTAGAATTTAACTCTCCCATTCCTTCTGGTGGAGTTGAAATGATTATCTTAGGAGAATTTGATCAAATGTTAATGATAGATTATAATCGTCATATCGTTTCCGATTCCAATCTTGGTTAGATAATTTGTATAAATAATTGGTTATTAAAATCTTTCCGACATTTAATATGCAAAATTACTCTAATATTTCTGATAATTTATCTTTCGCTTTAAATGTTGATGACAATTTTAAGGGGTCTAATAAGTTTATAGCTTATGATATTCTTTTATTTTTATTGATTTATTCATTATTAATACCTCTGATTATTCTATGTTGGGTTCTAATTCTTAGATTTTTGCGCAATAGAGGTTTGATTACTTCAACTCAAGAAAATGCTATTGCTAGCAATATTAAAGATATTCCTCTAGTAGGTCTGCCAAGATCAATTACTCATTATAATTTACCCATTGGATCTGAATGCCCTGTGAATTAATATTTTTAGAAACCCTTGACCATGAAATTTTCAAATTTTTAAATCGATATTTTGAACTTTAACATTTTTAAGTCCGATTGCGACGAAATCCGGCACTGAACCGTGCGCAATGAAACACGCAAGTTGAAGCGTCCCGGTATCAAAAAAAAAAGAATAGGGTTTAAGTTAAAATAATAATTCAATTAAATTAAAGTTCCCCGTGGCGGAGCTGTTAGTGTCTCCGCCTTTAGGCTAGGAGTCACCGGATCGACTCCGCCACTGGGAAATTAATTATTTTTAAAAATGGCTTTTTGACATGTGGTGATTTGTCTTGTACCATTTTGTCGCGTGGTATTTTAGACAGTGACAAAAGGTTTGGGATGAATCATCACACTTCTATTTTCCCCGCACGTTCCTTTAGGGGCGGGGCAAAATCAATCAATAAATTAATAATGATCCTAATGTAGTTCAATAAAATGTTGTAGTGGAGGTTCGAAATTATTGTTAGAAAAGGGGTGTGATCCCCAAGGTTGGCTGTTGTTTGTAGTTGTTGTGGTATTATTAAAATTTGGAATAATTTCTTGGATAATTGATCGAACAATTTGTTCGATAGTAGGCTTCAAAAATTCAACCACACACTTTGAAATACAAATAATTTGTTCTTGTGAAATTTGAGTTGAGTCAATACTAGACGAACTTTCAAACGACTTTGTAATTTTAGGTCGTTTGTTTGGTTTTTTCTTATTTTTTAATGGGAGCATTTTATTTACTTTTTATTGATTGATTTTTTTAGATGAAAAAAGGAGTAGGAATGAAAAAAGGAGTAGCTTGAAAAAAGGAGTAGGATGAGAGCAATGAATATCCAACAAATATTTCTTTAGATTCTGAAATTCAAGTGGAAGAATTTCTTCCTTTACTTTTTAAAAATTATGGTATGTTTTATTGTAGAGTTCTGTAAATCGCAGTCCTATGATCCCGTAGTCAAAATTTAGAAAAATGAAAAATAAACAAAATTAATTGTCAAATAAACACAATTACTCGTATCATATTTTCAAAAATATTTTTAAAGTATCCAATGAAAAACTGGGCAGATATAACTGCAATTTAATTGAAGAAGTATTGAATATTTCTAATGATTTTAATTTGTTCTACTATAATATGGAAGATAGACAGAAGGGGTTGGTGGAAAAAATTAACAGAATTACAATAAAAATTTTGTTGGATGATGAAGGAAAACAAAAATACCTCTTTAATGGTTTTTACAGTAACATACTCAGCCGTAAAAATAAGGAAAGCGTTGATGAAATACATCAAATGATTATCGAAAATGTTTTAAAAAATTATTTTATTTTTTAAATAATAAACTAAAATAATATTTGCTAGCTAATTTTGATAATTTTAAGATTAAAAAAATGTGTGGTGAACACTGGGATACTTCCAATTGGGGATTTGGACATAATTATGGACAAGGAAGTTCTTCAGGACAGGACAGACAAAGTAATCGTGGATACCTGAAACATGGTGAATATAGTGGACATCAGCAGCAAAACTATGGATATCAGACAGGCTATGGAAACCAACATATTTATGGATATCAACAAGGTTTTGGGGATTATACAGGACACCAACAATATATTGGACATGGACACGAACAATACACTGGACATGGAGACTACAACATGGGGCATGCCGAAGGAGATGTGGGAATCCACGGAGGTTCGGGTTATCATGGTGAAGAAGATTTGGATGCAAAGGAAGAAGGGGAATTTAGTGACTGAAACATGGAGGATGGGAAATTCCGGTGAGAACTAATTTGAGTTATGAGTTTGATATTTGATAGAAAAACAGGGTACATATGCGTATATGTCCACAAACTGAATGCCCACAAACAATTGAATTTTATATTCTAAAGCACTCGACAACCTGTATCTTTTTTAAATAAGATAGATCAAGTCTAATCATTAATAAAATATAACCCGACAGATATGTTATTCGGTGTTACTTTTTAATTCTTTTAATTACTTTTTAACGAGTGATTAAACCCATCACTTTGGAAAGTAGGTACCGCTAATCGTGGGCTTCCGAATAATATAATATTCATATTATTGGGTCAGGCTTCGAAAACTTATAACCGATCAAATCGGCTGGCATTAAGTTTGTGGGCGTATAACGGATATGTACCAAAAACAGATAAGAATTTAACAAAAAGTTAAATTAGAGGTTAATCGAGCTTTCTTCATTTTTATTTAATTTTCGGAGTTAAAGCCCTAAGTAATCATTAAGATTTTATCTCTAATTTAACTTTGTTTTTTTTTTAATTTCTTCATTTTTTAGACACTTCACCAACTAGTAAATTGAACTATCCCACCTCTCCATGTATTAAAAACATCCAGTATATTACTGGAATTTAAAGTGTTCAATAAGGCCGATTTAGCGGTCTTGGTAGGAAACACTAATTTATTTTTTATTCCCCATTTTTATTTTATTTTTTTGATAAATTTCTGTCTCTTATTCTAAAAGTAATTTTTTATTCTTACTTTTTGATATTTATCATTAAATTGTTTTATTAAAACTGTCGATAAAATGATGAAAATTGTTTTAAAATGTGCAATTTTTTTATTTCTATTGAGACTTTTTATTTTCATATGATTAGAGCTGTAATTTTTAATCAAATACATATTTTTTGCAAACTTGTCACGACGTATATTGCACAAAAAACACAATTCCCACTTGGTTTGAAAACTTTAGAGAGGAGAACTATTTGCAAATAATGCATATTTTTGCCCATTTTGGATTTTGATGCATGATGCATATTTTGTTGGCTAAGTTTGTCGATGTTTTTGGAAAAAATAACGTTAAATTCACCAAAATTTTTCCAAAATGGTTGTGACTATCTTTCAGTTTCGTCTCTGGAAATTTAAAAATTAGACTTGACTAACTACTATATGTTTTTTATTTGTTGACGCGAAGAATTCAAATTTTATATTTCTCTTATTTTTTATTTTTTTGAATAAAAATTTAGCTCTTGTCCAGTTTTTGCGTCCCATGAAAATTTATGCGTCCCGTGAAATGAATTGAAAAAATATAAGATGTATAATGATGAAAACTAGTGCGTGTAAATTTTCCATTTATAAGCGCATGAAAGATGACCGTCGTTTTTAATCTACCTCAATAATTTTAATAATGAATTCCTTCTCCAAAATGTAGGAGAAATCTGGAACAGACCAGACTTGCAAAACATTTGTTTTGATTGTGAGAACTCATTAAATTAACAAAATACTTTTAATTTTTAAATACTCACGGCACAAAGATCAAACAGTCTCGTAAGGGCAAATATAAATTCTTTATTTTTATTTGACTCAAATGTGAAAACAAATGAACTTACCCTTGTCGATTACTTTTTTGTTAATCAAATATAGTATAAATGTTAAATGCTATTTTTTAATTTTTGAATATTTTCCCAATTCATTTTATGGGACGCATAAATTATTTTTGGACTCATAAATTTTTATGGGATGCATAAATTAAATCTAAAAAGAAATTGTTTATACGTGGGGATCCTAGAACTTTGACTTTCATATTAGCTATCGACATCCCCTCTCATTATTTTATAAGAGCCCTGACGATGCCCTCTAATACCCCAATCGTTGAGTGAATTGTCGGCAATCTATCCTTTTAGGATGCTATGTTGTCACCAAATGTTGTCCGAGGTTAGCCAAAGCCAACGAAAACTAAAGTAACAATTTATCACTTACAGGAATACAAATGAAATTAAGTTGTCCTAACAGTAAGTCAACTTTTAATTTTTGAAATATGTTATTGGTTTATTTATGTATTGTTTGAAGGACAAAATTCGTAATTATACTCTTACCCAAGTATTATAAAAAACTTAAACCAATAATAAAAATTAAAACAATTTTCTTCAATTTATCGAAATTTGTTTGAAAAATAATTTAATAATAAATATAAAAAATAAAAATAAATTAGTGTTTCCTACCAAGACCGCTAAATCGGCCTCATTGAACACTTTAAATTCCAGTAATATACTGGAAGTTTTTATGAAGGTTTTACTTTTACTATAAAAAGGGGAATTGTTTAATTTTGTTAAAGAAATTTTACAGGATTTTCTATCAAAAGGAAAAATTAATTTAAATTTGAGTTAAAACGTAATTAATGTTCAGAGCTTTAACTCATTGTTAAAATAGGCCCAGATATACCTCTATTATATTTATTAGTTGTAAAATTTTTCCTTTTTTGATAAAAAAGTTATCAGAGATGAATAAAATGGGAATATATTTTTAAACGTAAAAACCAAAAAATCTCCCAAAAATACTAATAAGAAGGATGCCTCCCAATAAGAAGGCTCCCATACAAAAAAAAATTTTAAATAAAACAGAAATTAACCTAAAAGATAAAAAACCAATAAAAAATAAATAAAGGAAAATTGTTTAAAAAATAATTAGTGTTTCCTACCAAGACCGCTAAATCCGACTTATTGAACACTTTAAATGCCAGTAACATACTGGATGTTTTTAATATAAAGAGGGTAATTGTTTAATTTAGATAATGAAATGTATACCCTGTCAAAAAATAATAATCACTCCTTAGTTTTAGCTAAGAGCTTTTCACTACCCATAAATATTTTATGTCTGATTGTTTTTTTCTTTCGAAAATGAATTGAAATTCATAAAAAATTTTAAAATCATGATACTTTAAAATTAAATATGTTTTTTACGTAATCACTAAGGGGTGCTTATCATTTTCTGACAGAGCGTAGGAGTTTTGACAAAAAAATTTTTAGTTTTCCTTTAAAGTATGAAGATAAATATGTATGCTGTTGCATATGTATCCCATCCCAGGCAAAAAAAATAAAATTGTTATCTTCTAAATTTTCTGAATTTGAATTTTTCCTCAATAATTCCCTTGATTCACTATAGAATTGCAACAGTCTAGAATCTAAAAATATTTCTTTTAATTTTTTAATTAAATTTAGACAAAATCCATACAAAATGAACAAGCCC